TATTATATATATAATTAATTTTATATTCACGATTTCATATTATTATTTATATAATAAACTAATATCTTTTTTTCTTATATATTTTATTATTTACATAATTGCAATTGAAATATGAATATAAAAATACTATTATATTATATAAATATATAAATTATATTATATAAATATAATTATTATATATTAATAATAATATTATTATTATTATTATTTTTAAAATGCACTTTTAACATAAATAATTTCTAAAATTAAAAAATATAATTTTATGTTTATTTTATTATTTTAACTCAAAGAAAATCAACAATAAATTTGATTGTAAAACAAATATTATCTTTCATATTCATGAATTTAAAAAAATAGGTAAAATATATTTAAAAAATAGAAAATATTAATTTCTCACCTTCAACTTCTGATCAATCTTCTCCTCGATCGGAGTACTCATTTTCGTTGCGTTGATTCTCATTATTTAATATAATTATGCAACTAATAAATGCAAATCCCCGTATTGCTGAACGCAAATTGCCGGGGTTGATAAAGCTTCGTAAATTGGTGGTATAACAAGGAACATATTAATTTCACACAAATTGTTCAACACAATTATGACAAGTATTTGAACAATGAAAAAATGAGATCATATTCTTATTGCTTATTAAAAAAAATCCATCAACATATTCATAAAATATATATAATCGAGAGTATTTTAATATAAGACACATTATTTATTTTTCAAATTATACATTATGATGTTTTAAAACACTCGAATGAAGCAAAAACCTCGTAAACCGGGACGCAGAAAAATTGGAGTAGGCTAAAAGTAGCTAAAAGCCCGCGGCTGAGACGCATCGATTTATACAATGCAGCGCGCATCAATGATATTTCATTTGCTTCAAATTGCGGGAAACATAAAAATTGAAAATTGCAATCTTAATATCAATTATTCGAATGTTATTTATATTTTATGCATTATTTGATAAAACTATAATATACGATATATTCAAAAAACTTAATTCATAAAAAATAGAAAATAATATACAAACAAAATAGATACTATTATATTATATTCTTTGTAAATTTAAATTATTAAAGCTAATATTTCATTTATTGTATTATAATATACAATAAATTACAATATTTAATTCTATTTTTAGAAACACAAAAAAAATATGCATTACATATATAGAAAAAGTTATTAAGACAAATTATTAAGACAAAATATTTTATCATATTAAGTAATGCATATTTATTACAATATTAAACAATATTAAACAAAATACATAATACGAATTTTTATTAAGTATATGACTTGATTATCATTTAATTTTCTTTTTCTAAATGCATAATTAAAGGAAAGAAATATTTTTTTCTTTAACAATGAATAAAATAAATAAATCTATACAATTTCGTACTTTCTTTATATAAATCACTTTATAAACTAAGTTTATTAATTATAATTTACATTGATTTGTTTTTAAATAAAAAAATAATTTTTCATAATATTTTTATCATTATTTTTACATTTGTTATGTTTTGCACTTTGCTATTTCATTGCAAGAAAAATGTGCGAATAACTTGAATGAATTAAAAAATATTATATGTATACATATCGTACAATAGAAATATTTTTTATTAAATAAATTTAAATAACAGTTTTTGAAATAAATTATTATGAGAACATGATTGTTTTTAGAAAATCATAGGATGCATTTATAACTCCCCAACTTATAAATGATCTTATACAATTTAAATGTACACCTTTGTAAAATGACATTACATTTCTATTTCTTGCAATGTATATTTCTCGAGTAACAGTCATAAACTTTTCAAAGTTGCCTCCTATTTTTGATTGCATATGTATTTTTATTACATTCATAGGATAAAATACAGTACTTGTGAAACCACCTATTAGAGCACCATTAATAAAACTTGTAGATAATGATTCTTGTTCACCTATCAATTTTTTTGATTGTTCTTTCAAAATAAAGAACATAAGATTAGAACAACTATTTCTATATATAATTGGGACTAATCCACGATAACATTCTGATATACCATGGTTTTTTAATAAATATTTAAATGCATGAGAAGTATTTTTAAATTTATCATGATACCGCCAATCTTGTAACAATGTTTGTACCCTTTCAAGGGGCATAAGTATAGCCTCAACAGTACCAGCAAAATGCGCTGCTAATATTCTAGTTAATACATCATTATTTGTTAATGTACACAAACGTTCCTTGCAACCTTCATACATACTAAACATTACACTAACCGAAAGAGTTTTTTGGCAAAGAGGTGGTAAAATTCCACGATATATTAATCTTATTCCCTCTCTGGATATTTGTTGAAACGCAGTATTGACTGGAACATCTTCTAAAATCTATCATAATGATAAAAATTTATTTAATATATATTTATTTAAAATATTAAAATATTATTAAATAATTTTTATTTTTTCTCTTACCTGTCTAAATATAATTTTATTAATAGGAAAAGTAATAGATACATTAATTACTGCAGCTCCCCAACCACAAACAAACTCTTTAAAATCATTATTATTAAGTGTTAATAACGATCTTAATGAGACATTTTGTGAAGCAATGTTACTCATATTAATATTTTATGTAATAATTCTTTTTGACTATAATTTAGAATGTACAATCAATCATATTTATGTTTTTCAAATCATTCTCCTTAGAAGGTTTGAACTAAATATATCGTTTATCTGTAATTAATAAGTAATTATATAAATTCAATGTTTAAAATATTTAAAATATTTCATTATTGTTCACATTATGTAGTTTTTAAATATTCTGATTATCATACATCACAAACATATGATTTTATAAATATATAACTCACATTTTGTGCGATTCATAATTCAACCCATATCTTACTTTATGTATATCATAAATTTGACGTAAATATACTTTTTAATTCACCAAATTTCTATCATGCATTTCCTTTTCAGTACTACGAACAGTACTAATTATTCATGTGTTGGTTATGTTATTAGGATTTTAAACTTCTTTAAAATTAAATAAAATAACCAATTAAAATATACATAATATGTATGTGCGAACCAATCAAAATTTTGAAATAAAAATATCAAACTTCAAAATCATTTAGTAATAATGTGTTATATTTAGAAGATATATAACTAAAAATATTGTAAAAATATTGTAAATTTGTAAACGTTTATAAAAATATATATACTTTTTATATATTTTTTATATAAATATATAATTTTCTAACAGAATTATAAGATGTTAAACTAATATAAATAATTTTTTTTTAATATCAATATATTAATCACATGTAAAATATCTTTATAAATATATC